AACAAGATAGGCTTTCCAAGCTTACTATTGGCCCATTAATAGCCCAACTTGCTATATTGGGCCCAAAGCCCTTTATTGGGCCTTACTCAAGTCCAATACTAAATCCTTGGTCCTTAGTAACTGAATTCTGATGGACCATTAAGGCCTAAGGACCCTAAGTCTGAAACTCAGCCCACACCGAGGTCCAAAACACTTGAAGCCCAAACTGGCAGCGTACGCGAGGCATACACCAAGGTACGCTGAGCGTACTGGTTGCTGGTTTGTACGCGATGCGTACCTCCTTGTACACCCAACATACAGCCCTGTAAAGCCAAACTCTCATTAAGTGCTTAATAATCTGATCCAGAAGCTACAAATCCAGATCCTAAGCTTGTTCCATGTCTTAAGCCATAAAGTTGCCTACTTGATGGTAGGGGTGTTAACGGGGCGGTTCGGTTCGGATAGTAATAAAATTTTGAATCGTCATCACGGGGCGGGTACTTCATGTGCACTAACCGAAAACGAACCGAATTAGCAAAAAAACTGAACCGAACCGAACAGGCAGGTAACCACGGTTCGGTTCACGGGTACCCGCTAAATATAAAAATTCAAATACAATTAAAATTACAAACTTCATTCCATCGATTTCTTTCTAAAAATTACTAAGTCCAAAGTATTATAAAAGCATAATAAATGTCAAATAATATACAATATAATTGGTATAATAAATATAAAAATAAAAATAGAAGAAAACATAACGTAGAAGTGTAAAATTGAAATAGCCGATCATGATTTTTGTTTGGAATATGGCTAAAAGTTCAATGAAAATGAATATTATATATATATATATATATATATATATATATATATATATATATATATATATATATATATATATATATCAAGCGGTTCGGTTCGGTTATCCGCGGATACCTAAGTATCCAAACCAAAACCGACCCGTTGATATCCGGTTTTTTCGGTTTCGGTTTTTTTATGTTTCGGTTTTTTTCGGTTTCGGATCGGCCGGTTCGGCTCGGTTTTTCGGTTTTGCGGTTTTTTTGCACACCCCTACTTGATGGCTTACAAGTCTCATAAAGGCTCAAACTTCCATAAATAACATTCTACTTCCATGGAGCTAACTAGATCTCATGCATGGTTCCATATAAGCCACAAAGGTTGCAACTTTATTGCTAGGAAGATGTTTATGAGCCTTAAGGATGGCAACCCAAGCTCCAAAACCAACTTACAAGATCAAGACTCAACCTTTGGACTTAAAAGGTCCAAACTTCCATAACCTAGATCTAAAAGGAAAGAGGAAGAAAGTTCAGAACTTTATACCTTCCTTTGCTGACCAAGAGGGTGCTAAGTCCAGATCCTTGAGCTCAAGCTTTTTCTCCAACTTCTTCCCTTCCTTCTTCACTACTTCCTTTCCTTGAAACACTCACAAAAACTTCTTCACATACAAAGAGAAGATAAGAACGAATTAGGGTTTTCTTGAGAGTGAGGAGGCTAATGGGAAAACATGGAAGGGAAGGAGGCTATAATGGGGTTTATATAGCCTTAAACCCCTAAAATTAGGGGTTTTCCTCTAACCGCGTACGCTGGGCGTACCATATAGTACGATGTGCGTACGCTTCTCCTCCCCACGCTTCATTTAATCCATACGCCTAGTGTACAACAGGTTATGCCCCGCGTACGGCTTATGGGCAAGCTATGACTCGGCTCAAAACAAAGAGGCCCACTTTATTATACAATTCTATTATATCCCAAAATAAAACTTGAGAATCCAAATAAATTTATACCTTGGAAGACGATTGTTACAGTCACCCCACTAGGTTCTGAAATGTTAGATTTCTTTGTGACTCTTGTATGGTATGTTGGGCTAGGACTATAGGTATGTGGGGCAAGCCTCATTTATATGTTGGGATAGGCCCATAGATCAGTAAGGGCTAGGCCCATTGTATGTTAGATAGATGTTAACTGTCTTTGTGACTTTTGCATTTGTATAATTAGGCTGGGCACATTGATTTGGTAGGGCTAGGCCCATTATAGTAAGTTGGGCCTAATATGCTGACTGGGCCCAATGTGAGGGCTAGGCCCAATAGTATGTATGGATGTGTGGTATTTTGGGGAACTCACTAAGCTTTGTGATTATAGTTTTTATGGTTATGGTTTCAGTTACTTCTGGTTCGAAAATCAAGGGTTCAGCATGATCGCAGCACATCCACCTATGTTTCCGCATTATGATGTTTTTGGGATTTTACTCTGATAATTGTTTTCTTATAAAGTACTTTTGAATATTTAGAAAAAGGATAATGATTGTTTGACTTATAGATAATTAATGTTCTGGTTGAATTAAAAACGTAATTTTTACCTCATAATTTTTAGAACATTATAACAGACATGCATGACTGAAAAGCATCGATCATTGTGGTATGTTAAGCTCTATGAAGATTTATAGAAAGCTAGAAGGAAAGGCTTAACAGATTAAGAGTTGAATATGTTAAGTTGTGGAAACTCTGTTCTCACGACATGGCATTTAGGTCGCCACGACGTGACGTTTGGGGGGGGGGGGGTAGCTCGTGCCAATGATGTGACCTATGGGTGGTCACTATGTGGAGACTTGCTGAGGTTGACTTTGACTCTTAACATTGGCCGTTGATTTATGACCATAGTTGACTTTTGGTCAAATTAGGATTTTAGGGTGTAGAATAGGAGAGTACTTCTTTATTGTTGATAAGCATCTCGTAATACCTATCTATCCTGTGTGAGCTATTGTATTTTAGCTGCTATCGACGAGGTAAGTCTTTCACTATATTTATCTTTGTGATAGTATATGCATGCTGACCAACCGGGTTTTATTTATTGATTGTTGTTAATGTGAAACTGATTTGTTAATTACTTTTGGATTGCTGTGTGTCCATGGGACTGTTGATAGTCTCCATGGTTACGGATAACCCTTGAAATATGTTGTTAATCCATGAGACATGGTGTTACCCCACCGGGATTGTTAATAATCTTCAGGATTGCTGATAACCCATAGTTGTTTATTATGTCGTGATGTATGTAATATTTTAGGAAACTGACTTAGCTTCGTCCTTACAATTTTTTATTAAATGTGTTTCATGTACTTTTGATGATCGCGGGAAGGCGAATGCTTGACTATATACTTTCGCTTGCATATTTTTTTAATTTTCGTATTTTGATACTCTGATTTTGGATGATCGTATTTGATGCACCTGCAATTTTATGGACTTGATTTTTATAATACTTGAGGTTTTCTATATTGAAAATTAAAAATTGTGTGGTAAAAAAAGTGGGATGTTACATACAAACAAACAATATTGTTTAGACGGTGTTAGTCAAAAGGATCAAACCAGCAACAAAAACAAACAAACAAACCAGAGGACCAATCATATAGGAGTTCCATTAATTAAGCCTATTTCAGCAAAACACAAGGACCAATCATGTAATTTTCTCAAGATTGTTTTTGTTCTAATATCATAAATTCAAAACTAAAGTTAATGTCGATCCATTCATTGCTTAGGCCTTGTTATACATGACATGAGGAGATGTGATTTGATTGTGTGTGACAAAGTGGGCATTTTAGTCAAGATGATGATAATATTCACGTTCATGTTTTGTGTTTACAGGATAAACTCATTAGCATTTTTATTGGATATTGACAAAAATGAACATTAGGTGAGATTTGACTAAAATAACCGAGTTTTATGTGTTTTTGGAAAATTATCTATATGTATGGAAGTCACATGTATGGAAAACATTTCACACCAATTTAAGTAAAACTAAAATGGATCCTTCTAAACATTTCACACCAATTTAACTCGAACTAAAAGTATTTTTTTTAATAAAAAGTATATTTCAGACTAACACTTTGGAAATAGAAAAATGTTAGTCCAAATTAAAGAATAAGTCTAAAATATGATAAATAATTTTATGATTTTGAGAAAATGCTTTGTTGTTAACGAGATATAAAAGAAAAAAAAACATGCCAAATAAAAAACAGATACGATATAATTGCTTAAAATTTGACATTTAATTGAAAAACAATTACATTAAATGTTTAGAAGTAGTTATTCGTGTTAGATGCTTAGAAATAGTTATTTTGGATACAAAAAGAGAAATGTTTTTGAAAGATATGTGACACAAGTAAAACAAAAAATACACATGATATATATTTTGATGGGGGGAGAATTGCCAAATTTCTAACAAAATTGCCAATTTTCTAACAAAAATATCATCTATGTGAAATGAAAAGGTTACAAAAATCTAAAAATCATTTTTATTAATGTTTTTTTTTAATTGAGCCAATTACTCTACAATTTTTGTTGTCCATAGGCTCTAGCCGACAAATGACAAACGTAATACAAAATTCTTAGGATGCGAAAAATCATCTTTGGGTCCAAACATCTTTTTCTCTCAGGCGTCACATTAGTATTTCTTCTACTCTTTAGTTTCATTTTTTCCAATTCTCAACATAAAAAATCCGTTTCATTTTTTCCAACTCTTACATAAAATATCCATCCTTCCAAGCTTCCCAACCGATATAATTTTTTAAAAAAATAAGTGTATTATACATTTATCAAAACGATAACTAAAATTTTAATGTATATACCAAAACATATAAGAAAAAAAAAAAAAGAGGTGTTGGTTGAAAATATCATCAATCCATCGAAGTCTCTTCCTATTGAACCCGAGTGGATCAGCGGGCCTCCAGTCCCACCATACCAACAATGATGGGGACAAAATTTTCATTGATGCCGTGCACCCTTAGGTCATGTTAGGTTTTGGCATATTTTATGTGAAATGGGGTCTACAAGGTTGACACAACACAAGGTACAGTTGTGCAGAAAATTTGGAGTTTGTAAAGAAAATAAAAGCCAGGGTTTAAGTTGAAACAACTGTTTTTAAGAGGGTTTAAAGTGCAACACGACATAAAGTTGAAGGTTTTTCTCCTTCATAAACGATAAACATTCCCCTGTTGCTGTCAACATTATTAGCTGATATCTGTGTCGCTTCAATTATGATTCAATCACCTGGTTCACAGTCGACTGAAGGATAATAATTTAATCTAAAAACCCTGATTTAAATTCTTCAAACCTTTTCGAATTGTATTATAAGTTGAGAAATTGACAGATCACAACAACAAATCGAACCAGAAGAAAAGCAAATCCTTTGTAACGAAAACAGTTACACCATTGATTAATTTACATCCTCTGTTCCTACTATGCCTTCGTCTCCATCGTTTCGGGGGAAAGCTACAGATGATAATGTCGATGCTACTACAGAAGCAGAGGACGCGTCCTACAACTTCAACAACTCTGTTGTGGACCTTGAAAACGCTAACTATAACACAGTGTGGAGAGAATCGAGTTACAATTTCTCAAAAGACGGTGAGAAGTTCGATTTCTTAACGTCTGAGCCGCCGTCGCCGCCGTTATCAAGAATAGCTGAGAGTCCGAATAACTATGGCACGCTGACGCCGAAAGAAGTTATGGTTTATTTTCGCGATGAGGTGATTGAGCCGCAACCGATAAGGCACCGGCGCCGGTCCAATGGTAGTGGTCGTACGAGCGGCGGTGGAGAAGAAGTGACGCTTTGCTCCGGGAATGCTTCATTTAAGAGAAAATCGACGTTGATGAGGACGAAAACCAAGTCGAGGTTAATGGATACACCGGAGAGAGATAAGAGGTCAGGGAGAATATCGAAATCTGGAATTTTGGGAAAAGGTGGTAGTGAATTCGATGAAGAAGATCCATTTTTGGACGATGATTTACCTGATGAGTATAAGCAGTTAAGGTATAGCAAATGGACTTTACTTCAGTTATTTTGTTTAATCCTGATTCTTGGTGGTTTAATTTGCACCTTCATAATTCCTTATTTTAAGCACAAGAAACTTTATGATCTTGTATTGTGGAAATGGGGGGTTATGATAATGGTTTTGATATGTGGAAGATTGGTTTCTGGTTGGGCGATTAGGCTTCTAGTAATCTCGATAGAACGAAACTTCTTACTACGAAAAAGGGTTTTATATTTTGTATATGGTTTGAGAAATGCTGTTCAAAATTGCCTTTGGTTTGGGTTAGTTTTAATTGCTTGGCAATGTATATTCCATGAAAAAGTCAACCATATGACACATGGAAAGGTTTTGCCTTATGTGACAAAGATTTGGATATGTCTTTTGGTGGGGACAATCGTTTGGCTATTGAAAACATTGTTAGTCAAAGTTCTTGCATCCTCTTTCCATGTGAGCACGTATTTCGACCGGATTCAAGAATCTTTATTCAATCAATATGTAATTGAAACCCTTTCGGGTCTACCGGTGATTGAGATTCAACAAGAACAAGAGGAGGTGGATGAGATGATCTCGGAGGTTGAAAATTTTCAAAATGCTGGTACCAGTTTGCCACCTGATCTTAAGGCGAATATATTCAAGAAAACTGGAAGGTTTATTGGAACTCCAAGAAACAATAGTAAAAGTGGTAAATTTTACGAAGTTAACATGCCGGTTGAAGATGGGATCACGATTGATCACTTGCATAGGCTAAATCAGAAGAATATATCGGCTTGGAACATGAAAAGATTGATGACTATTGTTAGAACAGGAGTTTTGTCTACTTTAGATGATCAACTCGGAAAGTCATGTGATGAGGACGAGTCTGCGGTGCAGATAACAAACGAAATGCAAGCTAAGATTGCAGCCAAGAGAATATTCTGTAATGTTGCTATGGAAGGCTCAAAGTAAGTTTTTAATCTCATAACCAATTACGTATTCAAATTTGTTGGAAAACATGGCAACTTGATATGCATTCGACCCGGATTGATGTGAACACGACAAATTGCAAATAACTTTTTTCCAAAAAAAAAAAAAAAAAAAAACAAACGATTGAATGGGGATTCATTCTCGATCTATCGTTCGTGCAAAAAACGTGAATGTCCTCATACTCATCCTCAAAATAACCCTAGAAAGTTTGTCGAGTTTCATCCCATATAATAATTTATAAACGTGTGCCCTTGAAGATCATCGATAATATTACGCTCCCCTCCGCTCTCCCTTGTTATTTTGAGCTCTCTCATTAGCCGTGGCTAAATGCAAGAAGAGAAACATACTTTCATTTAAATACGTATTTTAGCATCCTGCCTGCATTTCTTTAAATTAAAGTAATGTACTTTCTATGTTTTTTATTAAAACATTGTACTCTGAAAAATCTACTTAATTACAACATTGTACTTATAATTATTACAATGCCGTACTTCTAACATTTTTTTTTCTCATTAGAACATTATATTTTGAAAAATCTACCAAATTATAGGGTGGTGCGGATAATGAAAGTAAATTGCATTTCATTACATTTAACCTATATGTAAAATTTAGTTTAGGGACATTTGACTCGTCATCTATAATTGAAAGCCAAAGTACTCTCTCTATATTCAAAAGCCTTATCTTATTTTTGTATAGATCATCTTTTCACCAAGCCTTGCTTTTTTCTCCTTATAGGCGCATTTATATAGAAGATTTAATGCGTTTTCTGAGAGAAGATGAAGCGTTGAAGGCAATACGGCTCTTTGATGGAGATAGTGAAACCAAAGGAATCAGCAAGGCACTTCTCAAGAATTGGGTGGTAATTAAGACCTTTTTTCTTCTCCATCATCAACTTTTTTCCATAATCAATAATGATTCGGTCACATGAATTCAAAAAATATCGTTTTTCCAGGTTAATGTGTACCGAGAACGAAGAGCTCTTGCATTGTCTCTGAATGATACAAAGACAGCCGTGAAGAAACTCCATCAAATGTTCAATTTGGCTGTTAGTATCATAATAATCGTGATTTGGCTTCTTATACTTAAAGTTGCAACCACACAATTCTTTATATTCCTAAGTTCACAACTGCTTTTGGTTGTGTTTGTGTTTGGTAACACATGCAAGACCACATTCGAAGCCATTATTTTCTTGTTCGTAATGCATCCGTTTGATGTCGGTGATCGTTGTGAAGTTGACGGAATTCAGGTAAAGCATTAGAAATAACAACGTATGACCATTTATTCGAAGCCATTCTTTTCTTGTTCGTAATAGCATTGTAGTTTTTTTTTTCCTTATAAAATGTCCTATTTTGAAAGTCTATCTAATTATAGAAGTGAAATTTGTTTTTTTATTATATTAACATTGATATACTTGCCTAATTGGGTTGATTTTTCGTTTTTGAAGTACAATACTATAATTAGGGTTGTAAATGAACCGAACGTTCAACGTTCTTGAACCATTCGACGGGTAGTTCGTTTATGTCCATTTACTTAATAAATGAACGAACATGAACACACATTCTCGTTCATTAGTTAAATAAACGAACATGAACAATGGTCTCATTCGTTCAATTATGTTCGTGAATGTTTATTTTTTTTACGTTCGTTTATGTTCATTCATCTAACTTCATTTTATGTTCATATATGCTTAATTGTGTTTGATTATATTAATACATCATATGTTTATATATGTTCAATTATGTTTTTTTTTTTTTTTTTTTTTATCTTTCTTCATTTATGTATATTCGTTTATGTTTAGCATGTTCATGAACATAAATGAACGAACATGAACAATGTAATTTGTTAAACGAACGAACATGAACAAAAAACTCATTCGTTTATCCGTTCGTGTTCGTTTATTTGTTCAGCAAACTTAAACAAACGAAAATGAACAAGCCTCGTTCGTGTTTGTTCGGTTTGCTTACAGCTTTAACTACAATATAAAAAGTAGAAGTAGAATGCTATAATAAAGAAAACAACAATATGTATGTCTTTGGTATATTTTAATTTTATACGTTGCCGGTTCTGGATTGCAGATGGTAGTTGAGGAGATGAATATATTGACTACGGTTTTCTTGAGGTTCGATAACCTGAAAATTATATATCCAAACAGTGTCTTGGCTACGAAACCGATCTCCAATTACTACCGTAGTCCGGATATGGGGGATGCTGTGGACTTTTGTGTACATGTATCAACCCCTGTCGAAAAGATTGCTCTCATGAAGGAGAGGATAACAAGGTATATCACTATAGTAAATGACCATTTTTACGCTTATATTTACCATCAATGCTCAATAACAAATTACTATTGATTAGATAAATGATCAATGAATGATTGGTTTGTTGTGACTGCAGCTACATTGAGAACAAGAGCGACCATTGGTACCCTGCACCTATGATAGTCTTGAGGGATGTAGACGACATGAATCGGCTAAAGATATCAATATGGCTTTCACACCGTATAAACTTTCAAGACATGGGTGAACGATGGGTACGAAGAGCTCTTTTAGTTGAGGAAATGATTAAAGTCTTCCGAGACCTTGATATTGAGTATCGCATGCTGCCTGTTGACGTTAATGTCCGTAACATGCAGAGTGTGTCCTCAAATCGGGTTCCGTCTACATGGACTACTTTGGCAAACTGATTTTGCATTGCGGTTGGCACTTTGATATTGTGGTTGGATGGTACGTACAATACTTTATGTGTATACAAAAATACTATAAAATTTCGTTGGAGGCCATTCCTTTGGTCCATTTGTTCGAAATTTGATTTTATTTTGTGTGTCGTATTTGTATTATATATTTTTGAAATGAAGATAAATAAAAGCTACAAACTTACGATGTAGAATGATAAATAAGGAAGGAAAAAAAAGCAAATGGAATAGAGCTTGATGTTTCAACTCGTTTTCTTATGTGGGTCTTCGTGGTATTATGTGATAAAGAATGGAATTAATGAAGAAATAAAGGCCAGAGCTTGGTGTTTTAAGTTGTTTTGTTTTGTGGGTCTTCTTGATGTTGCGTGATGAAATAAAATGGAATAAATGAGAAATAAAGGCCATGTGATGTTGTCATTTTCTTGTTTTATTTCGTTTTCAAAGCGTGTTAATTAGGGCAGCATGCATTATTTGTTGATTGGTTCCATTCTGAAAAACAAAAAAGTAAATGAAAACAGGAAAAAATCGTAATCGAGAAATAGAAAACAAAGAGAAAATTAAAGAAAAATGAAACCGAATAAAAATACAAAAACAATGGAAAAGCGGAACGTTCTAGCAAACCAACGTCTTTTTTATAAAATAAAAATATAACAAAAAGACCGTACCGTACAAAAAAATTGAAAAAAATAAACAATAAGAACCAAAACTAAAAACAAATAATTGTTGTAATTCATCTTTTTAAATAAAAGTTTTTTTTTCATATGTTAGACTCTTATTTAATTTATTAAATGTTATTTTATGGTTATTTTGAATTAATTTCTTTTCTACGTATTCTTTTATTAGCTTTTTTTATTTTAAGAAATTTCACATAATACTTTAATATAATAATTACAATAAATTTAGTAATAATCAAATATCAATTTCATTAATTGACTTAATTTCTTATTTTAAAATTTCCAAATTAAAGTTCATTAGTTTATTTTGTTTATTTATTTAAATTTAAAAGATAAAAAATCAATTTTAATAATTTATTATTTTCCTTATTTTTTATAAATCCAAAGTTCTTAAATATTTAGACTTTTATATTTATAATTTTTAATTAACTTATCTAATACATGGATCTTACACCTAATAGTATATCATTTATCAATGTTATTTCCATTTCAGTGTTTCATAAATCTAAACTTTGTAGGTAACATTTATAAGCTTTGGTTTATTTATCTTTTGCCTTATATATAGAAATGTTCTTATCTATTTATAAATATTTACAAAAAACATATATATATATATATATATATATATATATATATATATATATATATATATATATATATATATATATATATATATATATATATATATATATATATATATAGGTTCAGGTTCATTTAAGACCATTTTAATTTTGTGAGACCGTAAGACCAAATCTAAAAATAATTTTAAAATGCAAAATAAATGAAAAAATCCAAAAATTCTTTTTTTAAATATTATTTTCGGAACTTGAATTAACTAAAAAAATAAAAAAAAAATCCCGTTTTTTTTAAAAAATACGTGAAATATTCTAAATAGAATATTACACTGACATATTCTAAAAAATAATTTTAAAATGCAAAATAAATGGAAAAATCTAAAAATTATTTTTTTAAATATTATTTTCGGAATTTGAATTAACTTAAAAAAAATAAAAAAAAACAATAAAAAAATCATATTTTCTTAAAAAATACGTGAAATATTCTAAATAGAATATTACACTGTACATATTCTAAAAATAATTTTAAAATGCAAAATAAATGGAAAAATCAAAAATTCTTTTTTTAAATATTATTTTTAGAACTTGAATTAACTAAAAAAATTTTAAAAAAAATAAAAAAAATGCGTCTCACGGTCTCACAAAATTAGGTCATCTCACATGAACCTAATCCTATATATATATATATATATATATATATATATATATATATATATATATATATATAATATATATATATATATATATATATATATATATATATATATATATATATATATATATATATATAAAAGAATGTTAAAATGAATCATGGGCGTCAAAGTTCATTTTTGTCGCTCGAGGAATAAAAAAAAAGTTCGAGATCATTTGTCACTCTAACTTACAAGTAAGATTTTCTTGATACTTGTAGATTACACCTCGATTTTTTAATCATCTTGTAGTTGTGTGTTTATATAAAAACAAAGGGAAATCAACATCGAAACCAAATACATATTTTTTTAAACGGTAGAATATTATTAAAAACTAGCAAGGAGTTAGAAAAAGAATTACACCAATATAGTTGCTGAAATAGGATTATAAAGTCAATAAGACAAACTAAGATTGGCTTTTGTAAACCTATTCGAAATCCAATAAAAAGACTTAAAAACAACATCATCAAAAATCAAAGATTTTCTGGGATTAACCGCTCCAAAAATCGTTGCATTTTTTAAATTCCAAATGCACCAAAACAAAATTAAAATCACTGCATCAAAACCTTTCTGATGACAGATTCTCCTAGGAAAAGACACCGCCCAACTGATAAGAGAATCCATAGTAATCTGAGAAGGAAGATTAACACCCCACCAAACAGTAATACAAGACCATAAGACAATCAAATCAGAACACTCTGCAAAAATACGATCAATAGTCTCCACCCTGGATGAACAGATGGGACAAAGAATGGAATCCACCAATATACTCCTATGAGATAATCGATCTCTAGTAGGGACGCTAGAAAATATAATCCTCCAAATAAGAATATTAATCTTAATTGGAATCCAATTATTCCAATGAGTAACAGCACCACTTGTGAAGAGCATAAGCCCGTCCAAATATCTTCGAGTTGAAGAAACTAAAAAAGTGTCCAAAGTATCAAGAACCCATCCCAGTCTATTAGGAACCGACTGGAGACGGAAATCTTGCAGAAGTAAAATACAGTTGTCCCATTGTTCCTGCTCCACTCCTCCTCTAGTATTATGTCTAAAAATATTAAACCCCAAACCTATGACAACCCGAAATTTTTTCCGTTATCCTTACCCAGTTTCCGTTAATAAAATTTGGTTTTTTATTAAATTTCGTCAAATTTCTTAGTTTGATAAAGACTTATATGTTTTAAATAAATAAAATGTATTTTATACGATTCGGAATAAACCGGAAATCACGCGAAAAACTTGAATTTCCTCAAAAAAAAAAAAAAAAAAAAAAAAAAAAAAAAAACCGAGTTCATGGTCCAGGGCAAGTTTACAGTCGTAAACTCATGTACGACCGTAAACTCTGTTTACGGTCGGAGTCAGGTGGATCCCACTCACCGACCACAAAATCCCCTATAAATATGAGACCCCCACCCTCATTTGAACACTTTGGACCGAAAACTCTCTCATCCTCTTTCTAAAACCTCTGACCGTAAACTTTGAAACACCCTCATTTCTCTTGAAAAAACATCAGGAAATACTTCCGGAGGTAGTGTAGGAGCATCTAAAACATGTTTTCATCGAAATCAGCATCAGTGTTCTTGAGTTTACGGTCAATCTTCATAGACCGTAAACCCGTTTACAGTGAAATCTTCAAGGACCATAAACTCAACTTACGACCGTAAACCCTAGTTCACGGTCGTAAACTGCATGTCGACCATAAACTCTCCTCTCGACCATAAACAAGTTTTTCGTGGGGAAAATCATGTTTTCTCAATTCAACCAAGTCCCTGTAACATTCCTTAACCAAAACCAAGTGTTTATCTAACACTTTATCTAACGAAATCGCTAATTTAGATACATGTATGTATTTATTTGATACTAGGATTCCGTTAAGTGACACACGCATCGACACAATGATCTCTCAATTCAATCCTTTTCGACCAACCAACTGCGAGTTCATACCCCTATGCTTTATAGTTTTTAAAACGTTTTCAGGGGGGTGGGGGGGAATACAAACCAAACATAAAGGTTTTCACAACTTAAACACTGATGCAATTACAATGATCTTACATCAAACATTTAGATACTTTATCCCTTTTGTAATATGCGGAGCATAAGGGACGTTTTTCTAAAACATAATTGCATAGTTTTTCTTAGAACAGGACATGATCACAACTTACCATTCAAACTATAATAGGTATAGTTTGGGGATTTCATTACCAGTCTTACAGGTTCAAACTACGTACAAAGTCAACATATAAACTATGATTGGTTTATTTTATCCATTACTACATTCAGATAACAAGAGTATGTTACTAAATAATTATTTTGTGTATAATTATTTATACTCTACACCGTATATAGCCATTTCAAACACGAGAACAACCGAACGACACATAAACTAGTTAATACATGATTATGAGACCTATCTTCGTTATGCCCTTCGGGGTACCAGTAAATCCTCACCTTTAGTATAACCAGAGTCTCCTAGAGGGAGAGCATGAAATTTGTGAATAGATCTATTCGGGACCGACAATCCCACACCTGAACTGTTAGCTACAGTTAAGCGGGCACGCCTGGGGTGACAAATTTTGTATTCGTACGACGCCTGAAGAAACGTAAAGGAGGTCATCAGTCATATTAGCATAGTTATACGGACTCACAATATTATCAACTAACATTTGTTTATGGGATTTATTCTTCAATAGTTTTAATTTAATTAATAAGACTACCTACTTACTACACTGGAGGGTAATCCAGGGATCCAACCTTTGGTTTTAGTTTATGTAATAAAACAACTATACATACTGGTGGTAGCCAGGGTTTTCGAAAAGAACATACACTACATACCGGTGGTAGCCAGGGTTTTCAAACAGATCATACAATACATACTGGTGGTAGCCAGGGTTTTTTAACAGAACTTACATTACATACTGGTGGTAGCCAGAGTTTTCGAACAGAACATACACTACATACTGGTGGTAGCCAGGGTTTTCGAACATAACATACACTACATAATGGTGGTAGCCAGGGTTTCCAAACAGAACATACATTTCATATAGTAATCA